ATACCCCTCGCGAAGGAGATTCTCAGCGCCACGGCGTCACCCCCCCCCGGCGGGGGGGGTACTACTACCTCTACGGCGGCCCCGCAAGACACAGACCTCCTGCGCGGCAAGGCGATGGAGGCGATAGCGTTGATGGGACAAGCCGTCGGGTTGGAAGTGTTCCGCGAAGACGCTCACCAGGCGAGTCGTGTTGGCAGTCGTCGCTGTCGTTGCCGCGACCGTTGTGCCGCCGTCAAATGTAGATATTGTGTCCGTTTTTTCTTTGCTTATATTGTCGGCAACGAACGGCCCGGTGACACCTCGCTTTGAGCCCCGTATATTGCCACGGGCTCTCCTTAGTACGAGTGTATATATATTTCCCGTTTTGCCCGACCCCTCCATCGCAGCGGCACGGTTCGAACCCCCTAAATGGCAGCGGGCTCCCCTAACTTTTTTTTTTCCGTTTTTCCTAACTTTTTTTTGTTCGCGTTTTTTCGTACCCTTTTTTTTTCTGTTTTTATTCCATCGAAACCCGAAACGAAACCACAATCATCTGCAGGTGATCCGGCTGCTGCTGAACGAACAGGGGATGGTGGCCAGGGATCCCGCGAACCCGCAGTCCACGTACACTCTTCAGGTGCAATCCTTGCCCAATTATGTTGTCCTTGTTTTTGTGAGTGTGCTGTGGATGGCATTAACCGCGCAAACCGGCTGGCAAATGGAAATGCGCCACAATCGTTTAGCGGGATAACAAACACGAACACCCCATGTACGTGCGGAATGTTTATCGTCTCATTTTGGACAAGAGCAGTTTTAACCCCCGTTCGGCCTTACTTTTTCTGGGCGCATCAGCCGAGATCACACGGGAAGAAGGCCAAACAGGATTCGTTTTCTTGTCAAACATGTGCTTCGAACGAATTAGTTGTCAGAGCAGTGCACGGTCTACGCTGGGTGTCCGTATGTGTTGGAGTCGTCAGTTTTTTTGGGGGGGCTGGGAGGGGGCCTAATATTAGAAAGGTGGTGCCCATGCCGACGTTTTAAACGTGCTGGTAAACTTTGAGAACGCCACAACAACCATGAGTCTTGGACTCACTATCTATTTTCTTTTGTGGTATAATACTTCACGTGCAGAGCGTCTTCATGGGACGCGGGCAAAATACTCGGACGCCTTCATCATCGTTTACGAATTCTTCCCCCTCCCCATCAACTCCCGCAGTTCAAGACCTTTTTAACGTCTCCGGTATCAGCAGCCCAAAGCTCACTACCGGTAGCGTTAAGGTTGGTTTGGTTTTCATGAAAAGTCGCCCGGTGTCGGCAGCTGTCGTGCTATGCGTGCTCAGCAGTTTGAGATCCGAAGAAGCGTGCGTAAGTGCAGCCAGCCTTAAAGCTGATTGTATGGCGCACGTTGTACTGATGTCAAAACGCGTTTGTACGATTTTTTGGATTTTTTTTCCTCGTCACCCCCTCCCCCCCTTTCTCCCCTGTCCCCCCCCCCCGCCCCCGCACCGCCCGGACGAATTGCGTGTAAATTTGGTTATTTTTCTCCCCTCGTCGCCCCACCACCACCACCAAAACAGTCGCTTGCACGAATGGCGGGGGTCCTGGTCGAAGAGTTCCTCCCCTACCTCAGCGAAGCCGTCAAGCCACTCCTGGTGGCCCTGTCCATCAACGCGGAGATCAAGCACTCCAACGCCCCCGACGCCGCCCTCGCGAAGGACGAGCTCGAGGCGGAGGGGCTTACCGCGATGGCGGTGGACCTGAGGGGCGTCGGCCGCCAGGTCTTCGGCGTGAACACGAGCCTCATGCAGGCCAAGGAGTCGGCCTGCAAGACTCTCTACCAGTACACGGAGGACCTTGGGGAAGGGTTCGCCCCCCACGCGGCAGAGACGCTAGCGGTCGTGATCCCGAACCTGGGGCCCCGTAATGCGATAGGGGTGCAGGTCATCAGCTCCGCGATCGTGCCGAAGCTGGTCGCCCTGGCAGAAGGCCGTGCCGCCGAAGCTGTGGCCGCGGGGGCGGGAGCGAAGGAAGTGCAGGAGGCGCAGGCCATGCTGGACGCTGCTGTAGACGCGCTTACGGAGAGGTTAAGCGGCGGCAGTGGGAACGACAGTGCCCAGCAGCAGCAGCAGCAGCAGCAGCAGCGAGAAGAGCCGTTGGAGCGGGGGGACCAGGAGCGACAGTGCGTCGCCGCGGATGCCCTCTCCGACCTCCTGGAGCGGCGCTGCGGGGGTGGCACGCAGCAGCAGAAACCGAGCGTGATTCGTCTCTCGGACGAGAGGCTCCTGAAGACGGTGACGGGGCTGCGAAATGTCGCCGCCGCGTCGATCGGGAGAACGAGGGCGGCATTGGCGGCGGCAGCGGCGGCGGCGGCGGCGGCGGGGGGAGGGCTCGGCGGACAGGGAGGGATGACGGGGGCCATTGACGCGGCGGAACTCCGGGAGCTCGAGGACGGAGAGGAGGAGCTCCTCGTCTCGGTGGTCGACGCCACGGGGTGGATGATCAAGGGCCGAAAGGAAGCGTTCCTGCCGGCCTTCGAGGCGGTCATGAGGCCGCTCGTCCTGCAGCTCCTGGACCCCGCCGCCCCCGCCGCCGTGCCTCCATCGCACCGCTCCTTCGGGCTCTGCATGGCGATCGACGTCCTTGAGCACTGCGGGGAGGGGGGCCGGAACTCGGTATTCCAGGCGCCCCTCCTGCCGGCCCTCCTACAGGGGGCCCGCGGGGACGATCCGGCGGCGGCGTCCACCAGACAGGCCTGCGCGTACGGCCTGGGCGTGGCCGCGGAGCTCGGGGGGCAGGACTTCGACGCCCACAGCGCGGAGGCTCTGGGGCTTCTGCTCGCGCTCGTCCGGAAGGACCCCGGCGGCGACAACGACGACGATGACGGTTGGGGAGAGGGTGCGGTAAGGGACAACGCCGTGTCTGCCGCGTTCCGAGTGTTGATCCACCGCCCTGGCCCGGTCTTCGCGGCGTTCCCCCCCGCCGTGGTGGGGTCCCTCCTGGACTCGCTGCCGATAACGGTGGACGTGGCCGAGGGACAAGTGTGCCACCGGAGGGTCGTCGACCTCGCCTTCGCCCGCCACGAGCTGTTCTTCGGCGGCGGCGGGGACGGGACCTTCCACGCCGCGGCCGTTGTCCCCAAGCTCGTCACGGCCATCGCTGGGATGATGGAGTACCAGTCCCGGGGGGCCGGCGGGGACGGCTACGGCAGCCAGGAAGAGCTGTGGGAGCGACAGCTTGTCGACCGGGAGACGAGGGAGAAGGCGGAGGAGGTCGTGGCGGTGGTGAAGACGGCGTTTGCAGGGGGGTTCCAGAGGGCGTGGGAGGGGCTCGGGGAAGCGGGCCGACGGGCGTTGCAGACGCCCACCAGCAGCGTTTGCTCACGGGCGGAGGAGTCGTAGCGGTGCTCGGCTGAGAGCAAGTCGGTGTGTCGCTAGATGGACTCGCTCTTTGGTTTGTGGTTTGAAGACTGGGGGTATTTTTTGTGAAGCCCGGTAGTTGTGTGTACTGACCCGTGTTGATGAAAAGAACCACAGCAGTTCGTACGTTTTTTTTTTTTTCGGGGCATTTGTTGCCGCTTTTGCTTTGCTCCCTACTGACTTATGTACGACTGGTTCTCTTCAGTGGGTACGTTGGATTTTCATCTCAGGGTTCCTTCCTTTGCCTATTTTCTCGCGCCTACCGCAGAACAGCGTGGTCCTTCTCTTGGTATGATACGCGTGCATGTGCCTGTACTTGTAGTTCAGAAAGTGCCGTAGATGACACAAGAAAGCAGACCCTGGTGATGAGATTTTTGAGTTTGTAAAGCTCATGACCGGGTGTGCTTTCCGGGAATGGGTGTGCTATCTTGTGTCACCGGTGTGATAACGTACACGTTGACGGAGCCCGCAATCAGGGGATGTGATAAGCCAAGTGGGTGCGAAAAAATAGTTGCCTGCTCCACCATTCCTTGAAGGGGTGTGATAAATGAAGGGGTGTGTGATAACACTCAGCAGACTCTGTTGCGGGGTTACCAACCGACTATGTGATGCGGGCCTCGGCGGACGCTGTTGAGCGGGCTTTGGCAGCACTTGCAGTGGCAGGTGCTAATGGCGTCTCATCGTTTGGCTTGGCCGCGGGTTGCTTCGAGAAAAATGATGTGATCGCTCGTGGAGGCACCGGCGCAGACGTTGCCTTTGATGGCAACGTCTGAGGGACGTCACTTCCAGCAGGGTTGTTTCAGGAGGGTTGTCTACCTCCTCCACCTCCGTATTGTCCTTGTTTGCGTGCATACCAGCTGTGTGCCTCTGTTTGTGTGTGCACGTCGGGCTGTGCACATCTGTGCCACCAGCCACCAGCCACCAGGTGCGATAATGGGGGCTCCGTGATTGGAAATGCGGCGAGACTGTAGGGTGTGTGCTTCTTGATGTCGCCGGTGTGATAGATTGGCGTTTTTTCAGAGTAAAACAAAAACATCGCTGGGTGTGCTTTCCTGGGGAGGTGTGGCGGGTGTGTGCTATCTTGTGTGACTTACGGTTTGATGTTAGTCTCGTGTGGATAGTGTTTTTATGACAAGCCACAATACGACCCAACTCCTTGCACGTCACACCCCGCCAGGAGTAAAATCTGAAAACAAAGATTGTGGTTATTCTGTTGTGATGAATGGTGGATATCCGTTTGGGCGCTCTTCTTGACGGCACTACTAGTCGTCCTAAAGCACATGATGCGTAGTAGGCAAGATTTTGTGTAGGGGTCGCTCCTGGCCGGTCGTCAGTTCAGATCACGCATGTGGTGAAGCTGGACAGCTAGGTTTGTTAAAACGTCGTCCACGCTTTAAGGCTACTCTTGTTTTTTTCTCTACAACGTTGTCCGTAAAATTAGATCCCCCCTACCTTCTGCGGTGCACCATGCTCCTGAGAAGATGATGTGGGACATCTGTTGTCGAATAGCAGTCGCCAAGCGAGTAGGGTAGCAGCTGATCCTCTCTCGTCCGGAGTACACGGCAACGTTAAATTCAGGAACCCACCAAACCAGACATGTTTTTTGTTTTGGTTTGGCGCCGCTCACCGCTTTCGAGGTCACCACCGTGTACCCGGGCAGCTCTTCGCTTCGAACCTACTACGCCGACGGGGTCCGCAGAGGAGCCGAATCCACCGATTGTTGCGCTTGGGTGTATCCCTGACTACTCTCCGCGGCTAATAGCGTACCAACGAGCTTTCAGCGGAGTGTTGTGGGAGTTGAGTACAAGCGATCTGAACACTTAGAGCCGGGTGCTTTCCATCTGACTACTTTCAGCACGTACTGCTGCTCATGAGATTTACCAACAAGTGGGCCGTCATCAGGGCCTTCAGGGATTGCTACACGAGTACTGCAATCCCCAAAACAGGACCCTGCAGAGGGATCCTAGTCCAACATGCGGCACGCGACACCCTCCGCTCGGTGCTTCCGGGCTTCTTCTGGTATCGAAGCCGAGATCACACTATTAGCTGTTAGACAGACTAGTCAGCTTCGTCGGCTAGATAGACTAAGAGTTTGATAGTTTGATGTCATAGGTCAGTAAAAAACAGTTAGGCTTGGGTCATCCGAACCCCACGACTAATTTTTACAGAGACTGAATCGCTGAATAAACTCACATGTAAATGGTTTGATTTCGGCTTCGAAAGGACACCGATAACTGCCTGCCAAAAACATGGTATGGTTTGGTATTACTGACCCGCTCCAACCTTGCTACGATTGGCAGTGGGCCGTCGCACCCAAATCTCTGACGAGAAACCAAGGCCAGCATCACACCTGGGGCTAACCCCCTGCCTGCTGATTCTTCTTAAGTCTACAACACGTTTCAACCCATGCTATTGCTTCCGCGGTGGCAATGCGCAAGGCAATCCGGGGAGATGGCTGTAAAGTTTTCTTGTTGCGCTTCCCCCGGCAGCGCATACAGCTTCACCCAACGCACGATCGAACGTGCGTTCACCCAGCCTCAACCGCGGACGGGCTCCCACGAAGCTAAGGCGAAAGGGAACAGCGTTCGCACGACGTAGCAGTCGTACGTGCATGCTCCTCGAGTACAACGAGCTTACTCATTTCCCTCGAGGCTGAACAGCCGTTAAGTCCTCAAAACGGTAGCAATTATTAAAAAATAGGAATTTTCTTCGGTCCCCACCCAGAGCAATGCCCCGGCTGTGCGCCGTTTCGGCGCTTCCTGGGGGCACTCTGAAGTCAGTCTTAGAATACTTTCTGTCACCACGGGCGCTGCAACACCTCTTGGCATAGGTTCGTAACTAGCTCCTGAACACGGAACACTCAGCGGCGGTGGCGGCTATTCGACTATTTTTTTTGTCACGAAAACCCTACCTCGCATGTTGTCACGAAACCATATCTCGCACAGTATAGTGTTCGCTAAAAAACATAGTCTAAACGTCTAAACCCTTCCACCAGATAACATGAAACAACCCAGAACACAGACCACGCCACCAAATAGGGTACCTCTAATAAACATCAGAGACTGCAAACTATGCTCGCGGGAGTCTATACCTAAATCATGGTACCAACTATGCTAGCGGGGTTCTATACCTATATCACGCCGGGCAAGGTGGAACGTCGTCTCGCCGCAGGTCCCGAATACAAAAGGAACACCGACACTGAGACGCATTCCAAGAACTTCGTTACCAAGGATGTACCCGGGCACACCTCACAACCTCCCTTTACGGACCAAGTGCCCACGTCTCGGAACCGTAGCGATATGCTTGCAAGGGCGCGCTCACGCACCCGGGATAGATGAAAACCGTATTCAATCCGCTGCGCCGATTGTCGATACACTTGTTACATGTCTACACCAGGCGGGCCTGAGTAGCAACTCGACCGTTGACCGTAACAACAACGGGGGGAACCATGAACACACAAGAACAACCGATGCACATACACATACACAGCACAAAAACACGAAGGGAAGGAAGTCAGCCAAAACACGACTACCACTGCCGAAACAACAGATTTGCCCAAACTGATGACAAACACGTAAAAAATATTCTACCACAGCACAAAACAGTGTGTCTGAGACTCATGGTTGTTGTGGCAGCTTGAAAACCAGCCCCCCCATCGCAGTTATCAATGCCACCATCTGTCCAGACGGGGTCGGCGGTGATATCCATCATCGACGGCCGCACAACGCCTGGCAAGTTCACCACAAAAAAATCGCACGTCTTTTCTTTGATCTGCTTAGTGTCGCCCTTTCTGTCGGCTAGCGCTGCCCCTCTGCTCTTCTAGCCATGTCATCTGCCTTCCGCCCGTCCTTAGCCTTGTTGTGGAAAAACGGGCCCGCCGCCTTGTGCAGGCCCGCCGTGTGGCCCCGCTGCCTCGAGCGACATGGCTTCCATCTCTCGTCGTTTTTCTGCCTCCTGCTGGGTGATCATCTGCCGTCCCGTGTGCGTCCACGCGAGCGGGTTTGGGATGCACGTGAGCTCGGTGTTTGTAGCACGCCACGCGATAGGTACGCTACATCACGCTCCACGAAAAACGACACCATCTAGGGGCATCTTTGTATAGGAGCAAGGCGAAATGACTTAGTGGTCCCTGTGTGCCGGAAGTGGTCCCTGTACAATACCGGCTGCCCAATAACAAGGCCAGAAAATATCACCAGACGCAGATGGAATGTTCAATGCTGTCTCATACTACTCTGAATGGTGCCGGGTGCCCGGAATAAGACCGGCAAAATCCCTTGACCCAATGCGGCCAAATCCCTTGGCACTACGCACCCTTGGCATTTGCAGCCCTACACAGGGACCATCGATGAAAAGAAACAAAACGACGACTAATCGTTCGTCTGGAAGGCGACAGACACCCAATACTTCCGCCTCGATTCCGTACCTCGTAGACCTCTGCAATGCCGGCCACGACACCATGTACCATCAACCTATACCGTAGATGACACGAGATATCACACCCCCATGCGCGGATTGTCAAAGCTCCATTTCTCCACAGAAGAAAGATTGGCGATGTCCAAAATAGTGGCGTTGGAACCGTCTTGCCGAGAGCTCTTCGAAAACGCATCGTTTTAAGTTGTGCACCCTCTTGGCAATCGAGCCTGGAACATCGGTCCAGGCGGGGGTGGTATCTTATGCCGCTTACGGCAATCTACATGCCCACCTCCGCATCGCTTGTCGTGTCGGGTGCTGTCAACAGCAAAAACGCAGCTAAAACAAATGTTAGGAGATAGGCATCCATCTGATCGGCACGAGGGTGCGGCTTACCCTGATGAGGTTAGCTTCCGGATCTGGGATGAACTCGGCACGGGCGAAAGTGTAGCACACTTGGTGCTGAGCAAGGAACGCCTGAAGCTCTGCGGCGTTAAGTCCCAGAGCAGCTGCAACAAAGAAAGCGAGGCAACACACGAGCAACAGGACAAGACAAGGGCCAACGACGCAAGGGTACGCATCGGGCGGGGGGGCACGAAAGAAGCAAACAGGGGGTGCGAGCAGCACTTGGACGCATGATTCGGCTCTCTGTGTATCTGTCTCTGTGTATCTGTCTCTGTCTGTCTGTCTCTCTCTTACTCTCTCTCTCTCTCCCTCTCTCCCTCCCTCTCGTCTCTTACTCTCCCTTTCCTGTTTATCTCTATCTCTGTCCCTGCCTCTCTCTCGTTTTGGCGGCATGCATCCATCAGCACCAAACGCCTCCGACCGCGCACCTACCTAGAGTTTGACTGCTTCGAGCGTGGTCGCGAAATTGGTCGTTGGAGACCACGTAGGCCTTCTTGCCAATGGCGTACCTGCAACCGCGGGGTAAAAACAGCCAACAGAGCAAGCACGGGTTACGGGCGACGTCATGAGAGTCTGGTTGTCGCATGCGCGTTGGTGGTGGGGGTGCTGCTGCTGCTGCTGCTGCTGCTGCTGCTGCAGCTAGCGTTGCTGGTGTTCTCGTGCTGTTGCTGTTGCTGCTGCCATGAGCCCTCCCTTGTTGGTGGTGCTACTATTTAGCGTTGCCCGATTTGCTACTTCTGCTTCTGCTGCTGTTGCTGCTGCTGTCCTGGTCGCTTTGTCGTGTGGTTGCGGTCCTCTAGCCTCATTTTCACGATGTCGCCGTGCCCAAACCTCCGGCTGCCAGCCTTGCGGTCTATCACACCGCACGCAAAATAGCACTCAGTTGTGTGTTCTTCCACGAAAAGGGCTATCAATAACAGAACAACTCGTGCAACGGGGCAATGGGCAACCCTTCGAGGCACCCCGAATCGTCGTGTCTCCAAGTACCAGCATATCATGGCAACCAGTGTCCACGGCCAGGCGATTGCAGCGTGCGGCGGCAGTTGAGGGGGAGTACTCATGTAAACGCACGCCGTTGTTGTTGGACCATTGACCTCGCATCTCTACAATGCCGGGACGGAGCGATATGCCGGATTTTCGCCGATCAAGACCACTAGTTGGGGGGGGAGGGGGTACTTATATTCGTGCATACCGTAGTCGTTTGACTATTGACCTCGCACACGTACAAAGCCGGGACGGGGGGTGGGGGTTCCAACTCACCGCAGGATGAACAAATCGTCGTTCTTATTTGCGGGGACCCTGCAGATCTCGCCGCTTCTCAGGGCCTCCTCAAACTCAGGGTAGCACTCTAGAGGTCGAACCGGGGGGGGCACAGCGGATCGCATTCCACGGGTGGGTAAGGACTCATTGTCTGCTTGCCTGTTGTATGAGCATGCAGAACTGGTCTATTGGAGCGCCGATCCTACTCCCTGACGACACATCGATCGGCAACACGAAGGTGCTCTATCGCTCTCTACACCAAGAAGTTCATTCTCATATGGTTGAAGGTCGAGCGAGTCAGGTACCTACGTGCCCGGCGGACCACCCGGGGTTGTTGTCCGTTCCAAAGATATATGTAAGTACTCCGAAGTGTACATTTTTTACGCCAGTCCTGGTTGTTTCCAAGAGGTCAACATCAACGGCGGTTTTGAGTGGCGTCCCAGTCACTACAACGCACACCTCCGTCAGGTCTACAACTGTTGTAGAATTATTTTCGACCCTTCGGGACAAAAATATGTTTTGAGCAGACTGTATGTACATGTCAATCACGTTCAAGAACACCAAACGACGAGATTCTCACCATCGTTCCGCGTTAAGGTGCTCATGCGCCAATTGGGGACAAAGATCACGCACGGAATCCCACGCCTCTTGAAGAACTGTTCCCAGAAACGTGGGACACAGAAACGGGCGCGCCGAGGGACGTACAGAGGTTCAAATCGACGGGATATTGTTTTAATAATATTTTTGAGCTACGCTAGAAAGCGGCGGAGCAGTCTTCAAATCACTATCCGCGTTTCACTGCTCCAACTCGCTACAAACCAGTGGTGATAGCGCACATGAGGCGCGAAGAATGCACGGGCGGGTCGATGCCGGTGTCGTCTGCCCGCAAGTGGAGCTACTGGTCTCACCAAATAAACAGCTTAGATTCGCCGCCTGTGGCTGTGTACGGGGAGCGTCGTAGCGTGGAATGAGAGCACACATACCGTGTTCAATCGCCGCAAGTTTTGCATGGCCTGTTTTCGCGAAACACAAAAATCAGTTCTACCGATACCGAACACTTTTGTTTCGCGCCTATTGTACTGTCAAGAATAATCGACCGACCGGTCGTCATCGTGCACGGCGTGCAAAATACGTCCAATCTTTCGGTTCGCGAGAACAACTTGATCTCGACAAACAGTACGCGTGTACAAACACGCACACCAAGACTTTCATTGTTCAGCCGGTCAGTAGGGTCGATGCAAATAACAAAGACACACGCGCAGCGGTTGTTGTCGGGCAAAGCACTACTTATACATTCCTGCAGAGCTCACGACGACGAAAGCGACCGAGATAAGCGTGCGGTTGCGTCCGGCCACACCTGGATAGCCGCCGAGGGCCCCCTGAACGACCACCGCTTCTCTCCCATGCTCCCGTCAGAGAAGGCGAAGGCAACATTGCTCCCGTCTATCGCCACCAGCGTTGTTCCCGGCGAGGCTGAGACAGCATTGCTGCTAGTGCAACCAGCCGCAGCCGGAGGGACGGCATTGCAACGGCGCTTGCGGTCGTTGTGGCTGCTGTCCTCGAGCGGCCCCTGGCTACTACCACCACCGTAGTCTCCTGCGGGGCGGCCGTGGGCACCAAGAACGCCTCCGCCGCCTCCGCCGCCGCCGCCGGCTTCGCGCCGTGCTTGTGGCGCCGTGGTATCCCCTTCCTGTCTTTGGGAGCTCTCTCTCTCGCCGCCGCCCCTCTCCCCCGCCTCCTGGTCCCCGCACGTTCGCCGGTCGCCCTGTCCCTGTCCACTCTCTCCGCTCCAACGACGGCCCCGATCGTCGTTATCGTGATCGTCCTCGCCGTTCGGCCGCTGCCCGCCCGGTGGTTGTCCCCCACCCCCGCTTCCTCCTTCTGGTCGCTGCCGTTTCTTCCCCGTACCTGCCGCTGCTGGGATTGGCGGTGGCGGTGGCAATGGCAGAGGTGTTGATGAGAGCGGTGGCGGCGGCGGCGGTGGCGGCGGCGGCGGCGGTGGAGGCGGCCTTGGTATCGATGATATAGACGGTGGCGGTGGCGGCGGCGGTGGCGGCGGCGGTGGCGGGGGTGGCGGCGGGGTTGCCGGGGGCAATCGTGTTGTTGTTGTTGGTGCCAGCGGTGGTGGCGGTGGCGGAGGCGGTGGCGGTGGTGGCGGCGGCGGGGCCTGCAGCTTTGCCGGTGACGGGGGAGGCTGCAGCTTTGCCGGTATAGGCGTTGATGATAGCGGCTGCGGCGGCTGAGGTGGCGGTGGCGGTGGTGGTAGTTGTACTGGTGTTGGTGTTCGCGGCGGGGGCGATGGTGTTGGTGTTGGTGGTGGCGCCTGCAGAGGGATATGTTCATGCTCCTGCTCTGGCCGTTTTTCCCGCTGCTGCTGCTGGTGCTGCTGGTGCTTCTGCTGGTGCTTCTGCTGCTTCTGCTGCTGCGAATCCTGCTGCTCATGATGATGATGATCTAGTTGTTGTTGCTGGTGCGAGCTGCCGCCTCCGCCATCAACGTGAGCAGATAACCCTGGTGGTGGTGGTGGTGGCGCCTGAAGAGGGAGATGCCCGTCCTCCTGCTCTCGTCGCTTTTCCCGCTGCTGCTGCTGCTTTTGCTGCTGTTGCTGCTGCTCATGATGATGATGATCAAGCTGTTGTTGCTGGTGCGGCCTATCGCCTCCGCCATCAACGGGAGCGGAGAATCTCGAACGGCGGACGGGCTCGGGAGGCGGCGGGTCCCACCTAGCTCTCCACCCAGCTCTAACAACGCCACCAGTCCGGGTTGGTAGGGGCTTCTCTTGGCCACCTTGGCATTTACCCTTTGTATCGGTCGATGCATGAGCCCCGGCGACGCCGCCGGCGCCGTCGGCGGACGTGCCGATATCATCGGCGGGCGTTTCGGGCGGCAGCGGAAAGGAGGACTCGCCGCCACCGCCGCCGCCGCTAGGTGATCGTTTCCACGTTAATCGTTCGTCCCGCCCAGCGGTAAGATACGCCTGTTACCAAAGGAACAGTCAAGTCATTGGGCAGAAATACACAGCGGTAACAGGTACGCCAATCAACACAGAGAAGCCATTGGAGGAAACACACAGTGGTAACGTGCCCCTATTCCAAAGGAACAGCAACGGCATTGGGCGGAAACACACAGTACGCCTATTTCAGAGGTACAGCCAAGCCATTGGGCGAACACACAGTGGCAGAGGGTACGCCTATTTCAGGGGTACAGCCAAGCCATTGGGCGGAAAACACGCAGCGGCAGAGGGGACGCCTATTGCAGAGGTACAGGCAAGCCATTGGGCGGAAAACACACAGCGGAAGAGGGCGCGACGTCTGTTTCAAAGGGGCAGCGAAACCATTGGGCCGAACACACAGCGGAAAGGAACGCCTGTTAAAACGGAACGGGGAAGTCATTGGGGGGAAACACACAGCAAGAGCGGGGCGGGAAAAAGTTGATAAAAACAGCGATGAACCATCGATCGAAGACAGACGCGGATCGGAAGAAGTGCCACCGCTCTGCTTTATCTTGTATCGTGGTGTTTGTTTGATACGTAGAGGGTCCGGTATCATGTTCAGCAAATGAGCTCAACGACCGCTGCTGCTGCTGCTGCTGCTGTGTGGAATAACCTCGACTCGGATCAAGACTGCCTTCTCATGTCCCGTCACAGCAAGGCCTGCAGGCGAGTGGGGACCGGCGTGGCGAACAAGAAATCTAAATTGCGGGTTTCGAAGTGAATGCGCGGTGCACGAGTAGGCAGGCATTGCTTCCTCTGTTATGCCGTACATGCTCATTTGTTTGCGCTGCGCACGCGTGAATCCGTTCGCCCGAACACGCCCTTCCTTGCGAGAAATATCTGTGCTCGCTCAAGACCAACGCTCGATACCCGTATCACAATGTTGTGCAGTACATCAACAGCGAGAAGATACTCGCCGCCAACGCTGCTGCTGTGTTGGTGTGACTGATGAAGTTGGTATGAGCACACAACATTCTATGTACGGTCGCCCCGGTGGTCTAGTGGTCACCTCGAGACCGCTAGTCGCAAAGGTCGTGAGTTCGACTCCCTATGGGGTGAAAAAATGTTACATAATTTGCGGGTGAAAGCGAAAAATAGCTGGAAAAGCTCACGTGAGTACCAAACTTCGACGTTAGCACCGTTGGCGAGGGAAAGGGACGGCTGGACCCTTCGCGATAAAAAAAAAACTCAGCACGCACCGCAGGACCAAGGTCGGGCACGAAACTAAATAAAAGAAGAAAAAAAACTCTGGTGTTTACCCCCTCCTGTGTGACCCTGGATGGTTGTAGTTGTACGAAAAAACACGCTGAAAAGTGTAGTACTCTACATGCACTGAAAGGTGGAGTACACGTCTCACAACAAAAAATGGGGGGACAGTCGCCATAATAAGTAGGACCAAAACACAACAAAACACAAACTATTGTTCTGAAGAGACCCCGCCGAGGGGAAAAAAAAAAAAGGGTACAATGCACGTACCTCCTGGTCCGCCTCGGCCGCTAGGAGAAGCAGAGGCGGGTCGTGCAAAACGGCAGAATCGCGGGTTCCTTCGGTGCCGATGTCGCTGCCGGCCCGGCCATCGCTGCCGTTATTGCCGCCGTTGTGACCATCGTTACTCTGCACCGAAGCCGCCGTTTGCAGCGGGTGGCCCGTTTCTCCCTGGAGCTGCCATGCGGGACAGATGACGGGGCGTGGAGCTTGAACATCGAACGCAAATATTTTTTCTGGGTTTGCGGGCCGCATGCCGCTTGCAAACCGCAAATACACGAGAATACAAAAAAATGTCCGAAGCTCAAGCTCAACCTTCGGCATTGCTCCGCGCCTCTTCTGTCACTACGTGTGGGATAGCTGGCTCGCAGACGTACCTCTCCAGGAACCATAAGACTGTTTTTGTGCCCTATAGTGATGATTCATGCTGACTTTTCATTCGCGTATATACTTCATTCTCAATTTCACGACTATCTTGCGGTTCACGTTCATCAGCGAACGGGCCGTAGGGATCAAATTCGCAGTCGAAGCAGCCGCGGCGGCTTCAAAGCCTGGTTTCATGAACGTTTCCATCAGTTTCATGGACGGTTTCATCAATGGTTTCATCGGGTGTAGTCACAGGGGGAGCTCACGATAATCAGCAAGCACGCCGTCTTAGTAGCCTTGGCGACGCTGACTTCTGATTTCATTGCACGGTTTCATGAACAGTTTCATCGTGTGTACTGTAGTCACAGCTGAAGTTCACGTTCATCAGCAAGCAGGTCGGCAGAGTAGCGTCGGCGACATCAAAGTCTGATTTCACGATCAGCAGTTTCATCCATTTCATCATTTTGATGGTCACAGGTGACGTTCGCATTTTCCCAGCGAGCGGGGCGTAGGCATCAGTTTCAGCGTCGAAGCAACCCAAGCGACATCGAAACCGGGCTGTTCATGAACAGTTACATCGGATTCACTAAGGATGTCATTTACAGCTTCATGGTTTCGTGCAGACAACAGGTGTGGTTCAGGTCCATCAGCCATCAGCGAGCAGGACATTGGGATCAAGTTCGCCATTGAAGCAGCCTCGGCGACGTCGAAATCGGTTATCATGAACAGTTTCATCGGTTATCATGAACAGTTTCATCGGTTTCATGAACGGTTTCGACAGTTTCATCAACGGTTTCGACAGTTTCATCAACGGTTTCATCTTTTGTAGTCACAAGTAACGTTCGCGTGCACCTGCAAGCAATGCCGTTGGGATCTGATTCACAGCCGAGGCAGCCTCGGCGATGTCGATTTCGGATTTCATCAACGGTTTCATCGGTTTCGTCAACGATTCCATCCGTTTCACCAAAATGTTCAACAATTCCAGCAACGGATTTCAGGAACGGTTTCATACGTTTGAAGCCACGAGTGACGTTCGCGTGCATCAGCGAGCAGGTCAATGATAGGTGATTCACAGTCGAGGCAGTCTCGGCGACGTCGAAAAAAACAAATTAAGAAAACAAAACTGAATGAACGGTATCATCGGTCTCAGCAACGGTTTCAACAATTTCATCAACGGTTTCATCGTTTGTAGTCGCAAGCGACGTTCGCGTCCATCAGCAAGCCGGCCGTAGAGATCTGATCCACGTTGGAGGCAGCCTTGGCGACATCAAAACATGATTTCATGAAACGGCTACATCGGTTTTCGTCAACAGTTTCATCGGTTTCATCAACGGTTTCAGCAACGGTTTCAGCAACGGTTTAATCATTTGTAGTCACAGGTGAGGTTGGCGTGCATCGGCGTCAAGCCAGCCTTGGCGACGTCGAAATTGGATTTCACTTAACGGTTTCATGAACGGTTTCAAGAACGGCATCATCGTGAACGCAGGGGTGATCGCACGCCCCCCAAACCGACTTTAACAGCTCGATTGCTCCACAACCGAGAGACTGCCAGTGCCGAAAAGGATGGTTTGGGAACGATCTCATCGAGAGCTTCCTCGCACAAATCGCTTGGTTTGAGACAGCAGGCTCTTGGTTGCGCATAATCGAGCTGTTGAACATTAGTCCAGGGGGTGAGCTGTGATCACTGGCACTTGCACGGTAGCACGCACGTTAGTGGAAGTTGTGGGTACAGGTCAAATGGGGACATTTTTTTTTGTTGGCGTATAGGAAAAATACCACATCAGCGTAATCATCGTCGTCGACAACGGCATCGTCGCGCATGTACGCCGTCATCAATAGCAACCGCGACATCGCTGCGCACGGAAGATGCCGTCGCGAATGCACGCGCGAAGAGCATGACAGAAGCTAGAGGAACTCTTGTTTCGTTGCACCAGTACGAGAACCTGAAACGAACGGCCGGAGCACATCAACCTGCGTGCGTCTGTTTATCGTCAAACCTTAGGGTGAAAACGACATGAATGAACGCGACCGAAGACAAGACGTATCAAATAGTCAGGCATTCCTCCGTCATCATCTCTTCCTCCTTGCCCGAAGTACACTTGAAGGCTGATCGACCCCACACAAGCCTCGCAAGCACGGTTCGGTTGGAAGTTGGTCGACAACACAAAAGCCTCGCAAGCACCGGTACAGACCGAACCATCAACACACACAAACAACTGCTCTCTCTCTCTCACTTCTTCCAGGGTGGGGCCGCTCGTTTCGATGCTGGTCCCCTCTGCGTGCCCCCCGGCGGCCCCGGACTGCTCGATGGTAATCCCGTCGACCGCCTCCCGTGCTTCTTGGGCAGCGACTGGATCCCCGGAGTTCGCCGCGGCCTGCGTACGGTGCGAGAAAGGCAACATGCCCAAGAAAACGAAGAACAAATCCGGCAAGCAGGTTAGATTAGTGTACACGCGGGAGTTTCGTTCCGTTCGGTTTCCGCCGCGTCGTATTCTGTTCTGTTCCATTCTGTTTTCGTTCCATATCGTTCCGTCCCGTTTAGTTCGTTTCATTGCCTACGTTACGTTCTGTTTCGTCCTTTCTTGTCGTTTCGTTCCTGTATTCAAATTTCACAACTCACCTCCTTTTCAACACTGAAAACCAAACGCCATGTCGTCCCGGATTATTATCCAGCAAGCACAACAATACTCATACTTAGAATAAGTGAGTCTCACTTTGAGAAAAAAAGAAAAACCACCCACCTCCACGACGGACATCATCTTCGGCCACAGAGAAGAGGACGCGGCAGCACCTGACGGTCCTGAGATCAGGAGGCCATTAAATGATGAGCCGTTGGCATGCGCACGAGGGGGAGGAAGAGGCGGCGAGGGGTCCATCCATTGGTTGCCGTGACTAGCTCGACGGTTGACATTTGTCCGTTGCCCACGAACGCGAAGACGACGAAGCACGGTTGGTTGCTCGTCCAGATGGACACATTCAGAATTCGGAGGTCCATAATAAGCTTGTCGCGCTTTACCATTCGGAGGTCCATAATAAACTTGTCGCGCTTTACGAATGGACGGAGGAGCGTCCGGTGCTTCAAGTCTTCAGCTGCATGAAGTTCGAGGACTAGTGAGTTTAGAGGCAGGCGAGACAGGGACACAGCAGACTGATTGGGGTTGTCACGAAGATAGGACACCACATGCCATGTTTACCATGGCAATAGCGCCATGATGACCATGGAGTACACTTATTTCCGTGTTTTTCCGTGTTTGGCTCGGGGTGACCAACAACACAGTCCACGACCACAGCTGTGGCAAACAACGCAGCAACAGCCGGTAGCATCGGGAATCAACCAGGTTAACGACGTCAACACACGACGAGAGTGATAGGCACAACCGCGACAGCAACAGCACCGCATCGCGTCGACCATGGCCCTATTGGAGGGCGTGCAATCCACCGCGACCTCTCCCGCCACCACCACAACCCAACATAGCAACAACAACACGGCATTTGAGGCATTGAGCATGTGGCCGAGGTGCAACAACAAGTGTTACACACCCGGAAACAAGCGCTGGAGGTAGGAACAGGCCGCCTTCAAGGCCGCCACCCTCACGCCGATGTCCGCGTCTTCGAGGGAGTACGCAAACATCTGCAGGCCCATTAGGCCGCCCCAAGAAACACACACGCGTTGGCAACACCGAGCAGAGCACACGGCACAGGGATATCAGAAAGGAGAGCGCCACCATAACAGCAATCACAGCAATCACAGCGCAGGTTGGGAAAGGAAGCTAAATATTGTCGGGGAGGGGGGGGGGGGAAATGCTGCTACCTGCAGATCGCGCCAAGTGCCATCCCGCGGCAACCCCCCCCCTCCTTACGACAGAACCAAAAACCACAACCAACCTGCCCCAACTTGCGCTAAAACGGCGACACCGTCCCTTCCGCAGCATCTCCTTTTTCTTACAAGAAAGTATGCACACGTCCACACAAAGACCCTTTTCTTCTTCTTCAAAACCTCGAGATACCTGGAGCAAACCGTCCTGGTGGGGAGACATCATCCCCGGGTAGCACGCGGTGAGTATGCTGACGAGACCGAGACCGACGACCTTCAGCTCCGGAGAAGGCTGCGCCGCGTCGCAGAACGCCGCCGCCATCTCCATCAGCTCCGGCCACTGATTTTTTCGTTTGCGGTGGTCGTGGGGTTGGGGGTTAGGGATGTAGCGCCATGCCTAAAGTTGGTGCTTCTTGGGGGGTAGTGCTGGTGTTGTCGTCGTCGTCTTTGGCAATTTTCGTTTGAGGGGATCGCGGTCATTTTTGAGTGGCGTTCAAGTTGTTTGAAGGGGTTGCTGTCGCCTCCGTCGCTTTGTCGATTTCTCGGGTGCGGTGGTCATGGTGGTGGGGATCAAAGTTGCTATTAGTCGCCACCGACGTTGTTGCCGGTGATACGGCGGTGTTGGTGTTGCTAGCGCGATATTGTCGTCGTGTCGTGCAGACAGAAGAACGAGGAAAAGCGAAAGCATTCGCCCACACAAACAAACCACGAAAGGAGCGATACATAAACACCGGACCACGTGTTTTCCTGATTTCATGCTCATTCACGGACGACTCTCTTGCCGGGGTGTCCTATTAGTCCCCCCCCCCGGTGCCGCCCCCCGGTGTTTGCCATCGGGGTTTGGGTTTTCGTCGCTTGGCAACGACGTTGTAAAACAAGCCCCCCACTCGGTGTTTGCCATCGGGATTGGGTTTTCGTCGCTTGGCAACGACGTTGTAAAACAAGCCAATTCACTTCGTTTTATTTTTTTACCTCGTTTTTTTTTTTGGCGGTAACCAGAATGGTGGTCGAGTAGATCATGTTGTGCGGGGTCGAGAACCCTCTCTCCGCGCAACGGGGGATGATCGCACCACGTTGTGTTAAAATGGTCAAGCTTCCTCGAGGCAGTTACACAGTGCTTACAACTGTCTCTGGAAGTGAAAGCACCAGAAAATAAATTAAGATATATGCATACGCAGCTGTCATCCGTACGCAAGGAAGTAAGCACAAGATGCCCAACACCCTTAGGAGGATGCAGCTCACCCTTCATGCGACTCGCCAAATACCTCACGGCGCTTCGCGCTTGGTGATGTGAGAGCCTGGTCCGGTGAGAACCCGGCGTGCTCCGTCCCGGCTTTGTAGGGATGCGAGGTCAATGGTCAAACGACTACGGCATGCACGACTATGAGTACACCCCCCCCCCCCCCCCCCCCGGTGCCGCCATCGGGGTTGGGTTTTCGTCGCTTGGAAACGACGTTGTAAAACAAGTCCCCCCCCCGGTGTTTGCCATCGGGATTGGGTTTTCGTCGCTTGGCAACGACGTTGTAAAACAAGCTAGTGCACTTCGTGAACTCGGCAACCAGGTTGCCGCTTTTTTATTCACCTCTGTTTTTTTTCGCGGTAACACGATAGTGGTCCAGTAGATCATGTTGTGCGGGGTCGAGAACCCTCACTCCGCGCAAGGGGGATAATCGTACCACGTTGTGTTACAATGGCCAAGCATCCTCGAGGCAGTTACACAGTGCTTATAACTGTTTCTGGAAGTGAAAGCACCAGAAAATAAATTAAGTCATGCGCAGCTGTCATCCGTACGCAAGGAAGTACCGTAGACGACACAAGATAACACACCCCGGTGATAACATTTTTGGGTTTGAAACTTTATCACCGGGTGTGGTATCCTGTGGGGGGGGGGTGTTATCTTGTGTACCCCGGGTGATAAAGTGCGGCTCGCTTGGGCCCTTAAGGGGGTGTGATAAACCAGGGGGTGTGATAGCACTTCCGAACACGCACAGAGTGTGTTTGGGGTGTAATAAAGGAGGGGGTAAGGGGGTGTGATAGCGCGTCCGAATACCCACAGGGTGTGTTTGGGGTGTGATAATGAGGGTGTGTGATAAAAAGGTGTTAAAAACACTTCTTGTAGAGTTGAACCGCTGTTGCCGCACACTTGAATGGTATTGCGGGGGGGTGGTAGCAACGCCTGTACGAACCCTTCATGACTTGTGGTTCTGCGGATTGTGGTAAAACAAAGAAGTTCAACGGAGGTGAAGAAGTTCCTGAGCACATGACTCGGTGGCCACAGAGTGCGCCATCCGTCCTGCCCCCTCACACAAAAAAGTAGGCTCCTGCATACCTTGCTATTGGGTACGACCAAACAAGTTACGCAGATGTTGTGTGTGTGAGATACAGTGATGGATATTGGGCATCGAAAATCGATTCAATACTGATATATATCGGCGACACGCGGTATCGGTATTGCCGATTTCCACGCCGATATATGTCGATACGAATCGGTATCGGTATCGATATGTGTGAGATACAGTGATGGATATTGGGCATCGAAAATCAATTCAATACTGATATATATCGGCGATACGCGGTATCGGCATCGATATGTGTGAGATACAGTGATGGATATTGGGCATCAAAAATCGATTCAATACTGATATATATCGGCGATACGCGGTATCGGTATTGCCGAATTCCACGCCGATATATGTCGATACGAATCGGTATCGGTATCGATATCGGTATTCGATATTCGATATTTTGGCCCCCTTTTTTACTGGGGAGGGTCGCTTTCCCAGCTGTCGACTCCCTATTTTCGCTCCGGCACCTACTCCTGTCGCTCCCCACTGCCATCACAATCACACACACACCAGCCACCAGCCACCCACCACACAAACGGCGCCTGCGCACCATTTCCTTTTCGTACATCCTTTTTTCGCAAGGTTTCTTCTTTTGTTTCCTTTTGTTCTTTTGGGTGCCTAGAGTTGACACTCGCTCACGTTTTTTTGTCATGAAATCCTGCTCGCAGGGGCACAGCTGAGCTTGCACTGATTCGATCGCAACAGTAGAGTATACACACATGCACACTGACTGGCTGTAAAATGAAGTAATATACATATATCGGGTCGACACAGCTACACAACCACTCTGCCTCTCGCACGATGCAGTTTTCTATATACGCAACATCACACCACAGCGTGTGCCCCCTGTTGTGCTCGTCATGTCCAATTGCACACACCTGGCACACACCGCTACAATTTACTACTACTTCAATACTTCCATGCCGCCGGGCCATGCGCGCACCTTGCACACTGCTGAATACTTCCGATAGGGTTTGCGTGTGCCAGGGTAAGTGTCGTTGCGTAACGCTCGCTCTTCTTGCTACCTGAGGCCTTCAAAACAGCCGTATCGATATCGAGTATCGATACTCGATACGTACGAGCCATTTTCAGATTATCGAACAAAATATCGGTATTTGCGTTTTTTTCTCGATACGGCGGGCGTATTGTATCGAACCCTTCTTCCGGACCAACATCCATCACTTGTGAGATACCCACATGCCGACGGGGCAGATGGTGTATCACCCCGGTGATAGAAGGAGGAGCCTGCGGCGCAACCTCAAGGGGCGTGTTATCTTATGTAGCCCCTTTGATAAATCGATGGTTTGTCAGAAACGCCGAAAATTATCACCGGGGTATCGTATTCTGTGGGGGGGGTGGTTTCTTATGTGGATGTGTTATCTTGTGTCGTCTACGGTAAGCACAAGATGCCGAACGCCCTTAGCAAGATGCAGCGCACCCTTCAT